AGCCATATTTTTCTCCATTGCTGAAGCACTGTTTGTCCTTTTGTTCTCTACCAAACCGTTTTCTGTTACCAGCTGGATTAGGAGAACTTTTTCCTTTGTTGAGTAAGGTGCATATTTACTGCTATTTCCACTCATCTAAAATTTACATAACCAATTTATTTAGCGTACACATGCAATATAATTATAATGATTGTAACGCATTACACACATATAAATATATCCAAAAACAAATATACATCTAAGCATATATTTTAAACATCTAAAATTATGCCTCAGACACAAAATGGAAATTAATTCTGTAGAATAAATATTTTTTATAATATATTACATACCTTAAAATAGTTAATATCCAATATTAATTTCAAACACAAAATATTAATATCAAACACAAAATTTCAGTAAGTAGCATAAACTAAATTTGGCGCTAAAAGTTTTGTCACAATTATGAGAAAATTGACAGAATCTTCTTTTTTTCGATGTTTATTCGTAATTTACTTTTACCGTACTAATTTTCTTGCTTGAGATCAACCTTGTACGAGAATACCCGAAGTATCGTTTATAGAACACAACAAATACTTGAGCATGACTTTGGCGTAAGTTCGACTTGGCCAAGCACGTGCTCGAGCACGATCTTGAGTACCGACTATAAATACCGGGCTTACATATCTCTGAATATTTGGTACTTCCTTTTTCTTGCGGTGTTGTCGGATATAGTATATTTCATAAGTAACTGAATACTTCTCAGAATGAGAAAGTAAACTAATTTCTAATTTGGTACTCATATTTTAGCACCTAGTACCTGTGCTTGCAATATTTTAGCTTTACTGTTTTATCGACTATTTAGATAAATGATTGTGAATAAATACATTATAAATTCTTTCTGCTATTTTTAGAATAATGAAGGATGATATCAGTAAACACATCAAGGAATTACATTAATTTGTTGGGGTCCGTTTATTATAATCAGAATAGTTTTCCAGTCAATTTTAAGCGAATAAAGAGATTTGACATTATAATAGTATGATGTTTGTGATAGTTAATAAGTGATTTTGTTAAATATCTAATAAACTTGTGATTATACACCAATCCAAAATTTAAGATGGACCATTTATCAAGTAACGAAAAGAGTGTTATACAGAATTTTTCTAATACCATTGAACATATAAATGAAATGTCATCTACAGCAATGGGAAATGGAAAATTAACTTTATACAAATATAAAAAACAAGAATAAAATAGATTGGTATAATAATTTCACTCAAACTAAGAGCAGAAAGATCAAATTTTTTAAAAGTCAATCGTAGGATATTCCAACAATTTTCTAAACTTTTTATCAAACATACTTAAATTATAATCGGCGTTCCTAATAATCATTAGGCTAATTTGATTAATGTGTTTATAATCTTTGTAAGCGGTTATATTATATTTTAACTCTCAAGCACACTCCACCGAGTGCAACACTTTCTTTTTTCTCCAGACAAAATTTATAATCGGGTTAAAATATGTTTCGTTAAGAAACCACAAAACAAACGCTAGGAAAAAAAATTGTTTTCTTGTATAAAAGGTTTATTTTCCTTGGTATTTGAAAAATCACCTGTATATCTTTCTTCTAGTAATTCTTCCAAGTATACTGGAAACTTTATATGATTACAATTATTGAAATTATACACAATAGGAACTGGAATCTTGGAATATGGAAATGGCGTGAGTGGAAAAAGAGAGTAACATATGTGAGAATAAATAAAGAACAATTGAAATTCAATTATATTACTCAAAATTATTATAGCACACAAAATGATATATTTTTAAATATAATAGTCACTTACCTCGTTTGTGGGTAAGCTTTCCGCCATTTTGAAATTATTTCACAGATATATTCTCACAGACTAAATAGGTACTTGATTACCTATGTATTTGGATCACCAACCAGAAGTTTGAACCTGTAATGGGTATTTATTTAGATAAAAATGGTGCTAAAATGTTAAAAAAACATAAAAGCATAATAAAGAGTAATAAAAACAAAAATTGTTGGTAGATACATAAACATTAGTATGATTTCTTTGACAATTAATAATCTTACAGATAAAGTAGCCGCAACATAAACGGAACGTTAAAAAGACAGGTACATTTAATTCTATGAGTAAATGTCTCTGCTCCAGATAACTATCTGTCACATAGGAAAATATTTATCTGAAAGAAGAAGAAATAATAAGAGACCCAAAAATTACAAAAGTGCAGGAGAAAGTGATATCCCAGCTAAAATTTTTAAGGAAGATGGCGAAAGATTGAAGGAAAGAATATTTCACTTGACATTAGTAATTTGGCAAAAGGAAGAAATGCCGAAACAATGGAATAGTGCTCTTATTTATTGTATCTATAAAAAGGAGACAAAAAGAAGTGCGAAAACTATAGAGGTTTAGTACTATTAGAAGTAGTGTATAAAATACTTGCAAAAATTATTAGTAAAAGATTAAAAATATGATATCAAAAAGATTGAAGAATACCAGGGACGTTTTAGACCAAGAAAAACAACTACTGATCAAATATGTATGTTAAACATTACTACCCTAATGCAGTTTGATACCTCTTTGGCCTCCAGTAGGAGAAGACTGCGGTGTCATTGGCGAAAGAGTGTGGCTGTAGTGTTTGACTCAATGCCTGTAAGATCATTAATATATTAGAATTAGAATATATAGAAATAATATGGGTCTGAGTACACAACCCCGAGGAAAACCAATATTATCAACACTCTCCCTGACAACACTCCTGTAGTTTTTTTCAGGAGTATCTCATGGTCCATACATCAAACGCCTTACTTAAGTCACAAAAGACAACAATACTGAATCGCATCATATGAAAGGATTCCAAGATGCGGGACACTTGATCAAGAATGCCTAGAGTTGTGCTCCTTTTTTTCCTGATGACTGAACTGTGAACCTGAGAAATAATTGTTACATTAAAAAAAACTTATGATTGACAAAGCCATGACCTTGTCTCCTATTTTAAAGATGACTGACAGCAATGGCAATGATAGGCCTATAGTTCTCAGGGACATTAACCCCTTTTTTAAGTATGACTGTTATAATAGCACTTTTAGAACTGAGGGAGATGGATTTTCTTTAAAGCATTGATTTATTATGTGTGTAAGAGGGCTTACGATAATATCTACTACAAAAATACCACAGGATTAATTAACTACAACTTAAAAAAATAGATAAACCACTTTGAATTTTCTACATATTTCATATACTTAATTTTGTTTTAAATTTTAATGATATTTTTATTTTATTTATTTATTCATTCCAACGGTAGAACCATTTACAATAAAATACAAAAAATAGTAAAAAGTAAAGATCATGTACAATAAACATCAAAACAATAACAAAGAAACAAGTAAACAGTTAAAATTTGTACATTAAAACAATATATCATATCACAAAAATTTAAAAAAGTATCAGGTATCACATAGTAAGTATCACATATCCAGATTAATAGTCTGATTCCTTAGTTGCCTTTTAAAAGCATTAATGTTTATGCAGAAAAGGATCCAATAGGAGGTCATTGCAAGAGCTGAGCATTCTTGACAGGGGAAAATGACGAGCATAATCAGTCCTATGAAAAGGAATATGAAAGAGTGCAGTGTGTCGAGTTCTATGTATTGTGTTTAAAGTGTACATTGGCCAATAACGAGGGACAATTAATAACCTGGTCCAAAGGCCTTTGAGAAATCAGTGTAAACGCTGTCAATGATATGATATTATTTTTGTTTAAAGTACCTTATCTTTTTTATCCACAAATTTATCTATTCTGTTATTTAAAGATATACATAAGTAAAATATATTATTTACTAAGGATGAAGCCTGAGAAATTTAATATTTACCATTGCAAAATTTCATTCAATAATAATTTAATATTTACCCTTAAAATCTCAAAATTAGGTACAGGATTTTTCCTGAACATGTTTTATAATGCACTTAAGACCATTTTCTCAATTTTAGTTCATTTACAAAGAGCCAAATCATGAAATTAGCTCAAACTTAATTGTTTCTGTTGTAAACGCTCACTTTGTGAGAATTAAAACCACTTCCAACAACTTTGGTAGTAAGTTTATTTTGGAACAAAAATTTCCTCAGCTTCTGAAACACATATTTTAGCTAGGTGCAATATACATGCATATATTTTCCGTAAACCAATTTTCAGTAAAGTTATTATCTACAAATTTATACCTTAAATGTAAATAAATGACAAAAACATATACCTTACCTGATCTTAGTACTTTAAGGACTCACAATTAACGTATATAAGATTAACAGCAGTCACAAAGGAGATTTACTCGTTTAATTTACTTAATTTGTGGGAGAAATATCGAATGTGGATAATATTTGTCAACAAACCATACATATTTAAAACAAATAACAGTAATAAATACATACATACATAAAAATGTCGTTAAACGTTAAACGGTTAAACCGACGTCTCCCCAACGTTGCCAGGCTTACAACAGCAAGGTTCAAGGTTTTAAAAGTAGAGGTAGTTATAATCTAATCTAAAACATATAAGTTTGCAATGGAATTCTCTCAATTTGCATTTTCGTAAGAATTAACCTAATTTTTAATTTTCATACGAATATTTTTCATAATATCTTGTTGAAATATAAATTGGTAATTTCATTTTAAATAATAGAAAAAAGTGGCAACATTGGATAGGAACAGTCATGAATAGCTGTCATAGATATTTGAATTTTTTATTCAAATTTGGTTTTTTTAAGAATAAATAAAAAATGACAAAAGTTGAACAAGAAAAAATATGATAAGTTCATCAGCGAATAAAAAACAATATATTGTTGAAATCTAAGTTTAATAAGAGAAATTCTGACGTTAAAAAGTTTAAATAAATAAACAGTAATATACAAAATAAATGAAGTATAAAGAAATCTATATTTTTAAAATTTATCAACATTTCTTAATCTATAATTGTTTTGCTCTGCATAAAAATCAAAAATGTGGAAATCGACTGTACCTGCAGGAAAACATCAAAACATTCCGACAGGTGTGTCCATCTACCACCTTTCATATTGGTGGTCTGTGACTAATGTCATGATGATGTCATGTCATTAGATTGTTTTTATTATTCAGATACTCGATGAACAACAATGAACGTTACATGACGCTTAAATACATTTAAGATTAATTTTATATTAAGTTAACAACATACATGTTCAGGTAAGTGATAGTGGTAGATATTCTCCTTAGGTCGCAATATTTTAAATGAGATATATAATATACAAGGAATCTAAGAAAACATGCCACACCCCTTATTAATAATTAACTAATGATTAACTATTATATTCAAATTTCAGAAATGTTGCTGTACATATTATTTTGGTGTTTTTCGATTATCGGAATAAGTCTTGCACAGATAGATCCATATAGTTCTAATAGTTTAAATGATAACCCTTTAAATAATGAAAATAGTCAAGTGTACAACCTGAATAATCCCAATTCAAATTATAATCCGGGTTTCAACTATCCTGATTTAAATCAAAATCAAGCAAGTAATCTTAATCCAGGATCTACATTTAATCAAAACCAAAATGGATATAATAGAGATTTTAACTACAATCAGAATTATCCTAGTTCAAATAATCCTTCTTATGGTTATGGAAGAAACTTTGGATATGGAAGTACTGATGAGCTGAGATGTCCCCAATATTGGATTCGGTATCAAAATACTTGTTATAAATTTGTCAGGTCTCCTCTTCGACCTTATAATGAAGCAAGGAAAATATGCCAGGTAAGTTTTTATACATGTTGTGTTTCATACAGATGTTAATGTAGACATAAAAAGGAAAATGTGTTCTAAATTAATATATTCATATAAAGTGGGAACTCTCAGTAATATTTAAAAGATTTGAGATAAATATTGCACTTATTTGATTCAATGATTAATGTACCATGTCTTCAAGTTGACCTTAATGAGTTGGGAATGCTATTATGACCTTCAAACATATAAATATCTGATAATACTTGGGATCTCCTTTGCCATGTATTCTAAGAATTATAATTAACTGTATTGTGAGTCATACTGGATGAAAGTAAGACACAAGAAAATTACAAAAAAAAAAACAAAAACATCAAGAAGGGAGTAGGCGAGTTTGCCACAAATATAACAGGTTGAAAAATGATATCCACATGTTCTGTTATGACTTTTTATCTTAATCCCCTTAATCTTCTTCTTAATTGGTTCAAATTATCTGAATTTCTTCATTTTTTAATATCTATTATACAGTTTGGGCCAAAATTAACCAGCCACCTTAATGGGTAATTTTTTATGTCTTGATATCTCCTAAACCTGTTGTCCGATTTAAGTGATTTTTTAAATATTTTGTAGCCTTATTCCTTGACAATATTATTGTATGAATTAATTTGTGTTTTTTTTCTTAAAGTTTGCATCACCCTGTGGAATATTGTAGCATTTATAAAATATTGAAATTAAAACCTAACTATAGCCTCATGTTTTCTCAACATTTTGTTTTTTGATTCATTCTCTTATGTTGGATAATACAAAAATTAGGTAGTTTAACAAATAGCCATGTTTTTCATCAATACAGACGATTTAACTCACTAGCAAAATTAACCCCACCACATTTATTATTGTTTTGTTTACATTACCTGTGAGAGTTTGTTTCTGAAATTTGTGTCATGGATCTATGGAAATCAACAAATTAAAAAACACAGATATAATTCTGAATGACCAACTTGAGGCAAACAGTTGTTCCCTCCTCAACCTATTTCGTTAAGGGCTATAAAGTGTAAACTCATGCCAAAAATAGATCACTCGAAAAAGGCAATCAGCCGAAACAGATGTAGTGATAGAGTTTAAAATAAATTTTGTGGAAATTTGAAAACAAAGTTTTCAGTGTTTTATTGTTACATACACTATATACTTTACTTTGACTTGATTTTTTTGATATTGTAATAACTTTATTTTTAGACCTACAGTCCAGATAACGGGGGATCTGACTTAGTTTCAATAAGTAACTCAGATGAACATGGCTTTATTATTAATCAGTTAAATACAATAGACCCTCAACATAGGAGATGGTACATAGGGGCACATCAAACTTCTCCAAATTATTACACAAATGTTGATGGCACTCAATTAGCTAATATGGATAATGCAATTTTGGAAATTGATTTCCCTTATGGAAGAGATTACCTAGCATATAACTTTTCCAGGACTCATTTACATTGGGTATTTGAACCTGTTAGGGGCGATGAACCTCTGTTGTTTATCTGTGAGGCAAATATATTAGCAGTACAAAGATTGGTGATTGAAGATAGAAGTTTTACATATGGGATTGATGTAACTGATCCTGAAAAAATACCTAGAGGGCCTTATTTCATTAAACAACCTGTGGATGCTACTTTTGATACTTCGAAAAGGAAATTATTAAATGATGTTAGTATAAGGTAAGCATTTTTACTGGTTAAATATGATATAGGCCTAATAGTCATTTTACACTGTTCTTCTCATTGTAGTATTGTTTGACATAATTTATGTTTTGGTTATACTTGTTGTTGTTTGTTTTATATTGTTGCCTCAAGAACATTTAGCATTGAAAAGTTTTTATCCCTATTCATGTAAGCATAGTTTTTTTTATTGTTAATGATACAATCGTTTTTTTACAGCTGCTTTGCAGGAGGATATCCAACACCTACATATGAATGGTATCGTGAAGATTATGAAAATGACAAACTCATTGCCCATTTGATAGATCCCTTAAAAGATAGTCGTTATACTATCAGTGGAGGTACCTTAATCATCCATAATCCGCAACAAAAACTTGATCATGCAACATATCACTGCAAAGCTTCCAATAGATTTGGGACAGTTATATCAGAAAGTGTTCAATTAAACTTTGGATTTATACTTGAATTTGTTCTGAAACGTTCACCTGAATCTGGTGATCAGAACTGGGGAAAATCAATTTACTGTGATCCACCGAATCACTTTCCATCTGTCAGATATTCTTGGTCACGTGACTACTTTCCCAATTTTGTTGAGGAAGATAAACGTGTCTTTTCTTCCAACGATGGAGCCTTATACTTTTCTGCTTTGGAAACAATTGACAGAGCCAATTACAGTTGCAGTGTTAATTCAGAGTTTTCAGATTCTGGTAGAAATGGCCCATTCTTTCCACTGAGAGTTAATCCACATTGTAAGTTTGGTCTGAATATTATATTAGTTACGTTATTTAATATTTTTATGTTTCAGCCAACTACCAACAACTGAAATTTCCTAACAATTTTCCCAAGGCTTTCCCAGAAGCTCCCACGGCAGGAAAAGATGTTAAATTAGAATGTATTGCTTTTGGATAGTAAGTGCAATTTTTTGTTTTTTTAATCCTTGTTAATTAATTATTTATTTAGCCCAGTTCCGAGCTATAACTGGACCAGAAAGGGGGGTAGCTTACCAAGAAATGCCTTTATGACAAGTTACAATAGAGTTCTAGTAATTCCAAAAGTGCATGTGGAGGATGAGGGAGAATACATTTGCCGTGCCTATAATGATAGAGCGAGTATCGAAAACAGTGTTATACTGAATATTCAAGGTAAATCACACAGTATATTAACCATTTTTACCAGGCAAATTAGCTCTATTTTAATAAAAAATATGTATTCATGTCTAAATATAAAATGTTTAAAAGTTATATGATGGAATGTAGCTGGTAGGGTTAATACACAAAATAAAAATTAATGAAACAGCTGAAAAGTTCTCTTTATGATGGGGGGTGGGGGTGAAAAGGACTTGTAGGACTGTAGGAAAACACATGTTGACAGTAGAACAGGCTATTTGATAACATTCGTTTTTTTACTTACAAAAGGAGGATTAGGTGACAGTTTCTTATTGAACAGCGTTTTGGAGATGTTGAAATCTGCAAGTTCTATATTGTGCACTGTGTATTTACATGATGTTTGCCTAACTAGCTATTGCTAGTACCACAGTAAAATGGCCAAAATTGAGAGCTTCTTTCTTTTTCTCTCGATTAAAGCATGAACACTGTCTGCTTCCATATATTTGTTCCCTTTCAGTAAAAACTTTTTTAAGTGATCGTCATTATTTGAGGGTGCGTATGAAGTATCCAAAAATAGCACATTATAATACTTATATTTTTATTTTGTTCATAGCAGTTATCGGCCCAAAGAGTGATGTCCTGGAATTGTTTTGTCAGCCCATTTCAAAATTGACGAGGCAATTTCATTTGCACCACGTGCCCCTTTCGATTTGTCCCACATCATACATTGTACAGAAGAATCACTGGCATATAATGTAAAATTTATTGTCCAAAGCTTCCTTTGCAGAAACTAATACAATTGTTTGTTAGTTATGAAGGCAAACATTTCTGCAAATCGCCAGATAGTACTTTGTGTTTTGATGACTTTTAGTCGTTTAAAGTTAAATTGTTTTAAGTTATACCGAGTTTTAGATTCAATTAGGGAGCATCATGATCAGCCTGTACACTGGTTAGTTAATCTCCAGTTATATTATTTTTCAATTGAGCGGTGAATGTACTGCATGTATTGCAAGTGTCTATTTCAGGTGGTTTAAATGACAACTTGATTCTTTATTAAAAATATCTGCGTACAACCACTTTTTTGCTTTTAGCTTTGGATCCACATGTCTTTCATTGCATTCATCAATGTACAGTTGATACATCTTTTCTATTGTAAGTTCTGTTGCTCTCTTGCTCCTTTCTCTGGAATAATGACTCTCGCACTTTAGGAAGGAATTGATATGTCGATATATACCATTTATGGTTTCGGTAGGAGTTTTATTGATTAGCGTGTAACTACTTCTTTGATAATCTTTTATTAAACCTCCTGGCTCAATTTTTTTCAACATATCCACTACTACTAAATTAGATATACAAAGCGTGTTTGTTTATTCGCTTTTTTTGTCTGGATGGTAAATAACAGTGCACACATTTAGTAGAGGTAAACAACACTAAGTCCACCTGGTGTTGTTTACCTCTGACTGGAAGTGGACTTGGTGTTTATTAAAAAATCGGTAACTTGCCGTAAAATTGTCTCTAGACATAGTACGGTTTACCTCTGTGTAGAAACAAAAAAAGTTATATTCAAAAGTGCAATAATTCCAATTTTGATAAAAATGGACATAGTGTCCTTTACCTCCGTGGTACAGTAAAGTATATTTTCACCCAGTTGCATCAGCATTCAATAACTTTTACAGTAATGAAAAACGAAAACATAAAAAAAGCGATTTTTTTTATTTTATATTATTCTAATTTTTGCATTTGAAATTTTTCGCTAGAATATTTCGCCAGACATTAAAAACTTTTTTACCCTATCTTTATATGTATATTACACCCCCATCTACCACTTTCATTATAAAACTTTGGATAACATTTTTTTCTTTTTGGAAATTTTGCCTGGACTATATATTATAGTTCAGGGAAAGAAGATTTTTTCCTGACACTAACTCCTTCAGCAAACAACAGTTGTTTTTAGTAGTATGGGCCTCTATAACAAAAACCCATATGTTTCCTTAAGTCGATATTTTGGACTTATTAATTATTAACAAATTAAGACCAAAAAAATTTTGGTCTTTTTTCGTCTATTAGCAAAAATTGAAGTATTTACAAATTTCAGAGTGAGAAACTTATGTGACTTTATAATTCTTTTAAAAATATCCAAAATGACGTTTCTATCCTTATCTATTGCTTAGACAGTTGCAAAATAAGACAGAAATTTCGCTTGTTTATAAATGTTTTAAACTTTTTAAAAATGAACTTAGACCCTTCATATTACATGGAACGTTGTTGTGCTTAAAATATCAAAATTTCAGAGCGATAGGTCTAATAGTTTAAAAGTTATTTTATTTGTTTATCTCAAATTTTTTTTTGCAACAATATCAGTTAATAATAAAGAAGTAACAGTTATTCTACGTGTAGCTTATGAAAGAAGATTTATTCTATTAATATTATAAAAAAAAAATAAGGAAAAATAATTTTAAATATTGCAAAACATGTCGTTTTTTTGTTTATAAACAATTAGAATATCTTTTTAACAATTGCCTGTAGGAAAATTATTTTCTATAACATTTGGAAAGCTTGAATTTTTTCACAAATTTAAAAAGAGAAAATGTTTTCCTTGGACAATTTTGGACAAAGTTAGCTTATTAGGATCATCTGAACATTCTTTAAAGTTCTAATTTGTTAATTGTAAAACAATTTTTATTCAATTTTTGAAGTTTCAAATGCTTCTCTTTCTGCTGATAGAGCATAGAGGTCCATACCACTCAAAACAACTGTCCAAATGCGAAAGAGGAAAAATACAATTTATAGCCATATAATCTTCCTAATTGATTTAATTTGTTTAGCTGAACCTACATTTACAATTCCTCTAAAAGACAGTCATATGGATAGCAAAGGTGAACTCATCTGGACCTGTGAAGCATTTGGTATTCCAGATGTAAATTACACTTGGTGGAGGAATGGACGGCAGTTGGGTAAGTCTTTCTACATCTATTCAATCTCGATACTCACAAGCTCCATTTTCAGTTCAAGGATATATGGATAGAGAAGATAGAGGAAGAATTAAAATTCAGGATAATGTCTTGATTATATCATACTTAGATCAAGAAAGAGATCCTGGAATGTATCAATGTAGAGCTTCCAATACTTTAAAAACGACATACTCATCAGCACAACTTAGAGTTTTAGCTTTCAAGCCTTCTTTTTAAAAAAACTCCTTTAGAATTCGAATCTTATGCAGCTGAAGAAGGTAATGTGACCATTAAATGTAACCCAGAGGCAGCTCCTAGACCAAAATTTGTTTGGAAGAAAGATGGAAACGTTATTGGGTCGGGAGGCCATAGGAAAATATTTGAAAATGGGAATTTGTATATTAGCCCGGTTTCTAGAGATGATGAGGGTGTATACATATGTACAGCATCAAACGAATTAGGCATTGATGAATCACGAGGTCGATTGATTGTATTACGTAAGTAAATATGTTAACACAAATTACATCACACAACATAATGCATGTATTTACTTTAGGAGGTCCTCGTCTTGTGGAGCCCTTACGAGAGACTATGGTGACATCTGTTGGCAGAAATATCGACTTGCGTTGTTACGCTGTGACAGATGAGATGTTAGATATTGCATACATATGGAAACACAATGGAATGGTTATAAGAGATGTAGATGTTAAAAATTCGTACAATCGTATAGTAAGTTAATTCATATTTGACATTTATTGAGTAAATATTAATATTCTTTTACATTTTTTAGAAAGTTGATGGTGGTTATTTAAGGATAATAAATGCTACCTTCTCTGATACGGGTGATTATGAATGTGTTGTTAAATCAGCAGTAGGCAGGATATATTCCAGGGCTAGAGTAATAGTAGAAGGCCCACCTGGCCCCCCAGGTGGTGTTCAAGTATTAAATATTCAGAAAACATCAGTTACACTGCAATGGACAGATGGAGCTACCCACGGTTCACCTATTTACAGTTATACAATTAGCGGAAGAACCAATTGGAATCACACATGGGTGAATATCACTCATCAAGTTAGAGCGACAGAAATTGACAGATATACTGGAAGAAAGGAAACAACAATAGATAATATCCTTACACCTTGGTCCGTTTATGAGTTTCGAGTAGCAGCATGGAATTCTTTGGGAATGGGTGAACCATCGCAACACAGTCCCAGACATGCTACTCCACCCGACAGACCTTATATTGCCCCTCGGAATATTGGAGGAGGCGGAGGTAAAATTGGAGATCTTACTATTCGTTGGGAGCCTTTGAGGCCAGACGAACAAAACAGCCCTGGAATACATTATAAAATATTCTGGAAGCGCAAGGACGGAGAAGTTGAATTTAAGAGCCATAAACTGGAAGAGTTGGGAAATGTTGGAGAGGCTGTAGTTAATATAGATATCAAATATTATTACACAGAATATATTGTTAAAGTTCAAGCTTTTAACAATGAAGGCGCTGGGCCTATTAGTCCTGAGACTGTCATTTATTCTGCTGAAGATATGCCTCAAGTGGCACCACAATTAGTTATCGCCAAATCCTTTAATTCAACTGCTCTGAATGTCAGTTGGGTTCCTGTTGATCAAACTAGGGAGAAGGTTAGAGGAAAACTCATAGGCCACAGAGTAAGTACATACCATTTTTTTTATTTTTCTATCTGCGGTTGTTTTGTCACCTGTTGATTTATTTAATTTTCAAAAAATTTTAAGCATGCATTTACATTGAAACATTTTTTTTTATGCGAAAGCCGTCTGTTACACATTCACTTCAGCCAATTGACTAGTCGAACTTGAACATTTTCCATTTATTCATCATACTCATTCCAGAACCCTTGTCCTCTATTGGGTCAGTCTCACCCCATTTAGAAAGATTTTAACAGTTTCAAGTATTTGAGGTGAAGATATTTCTTGATTTTGAAAATCAGGCCTCTGTGCCAAACCTTGTGAAAGGCTTGACTAAGGTCTAGAAAGGCAGCTGTGCAGTACTGCTCGCTTTTCATTGCAGAATTTATGAAGTGTACTATTCTGTGAACCTGCTCTATCATTGAATATTCTTTTCGAAAGCCCAATTGGTGGTTGGGTACCCGTTCCTCTGTATTGGTGTCTCTAGTTAATTTTTTGTAACAGTAACCTTTCAAGTGTTTTGGATGCGATTGGTAGTAGACTTATTGGCCTATATGTTGAAACCTCATTCGAATTTTTTCCAGCTTTTGGAATTAGTATTATTTCAGCGGTTTTAAAGAGCTTTGGCCAGTAATTTGATCATAGAATAGCATTGAAAATGAGAGTAAACAGTATAATTCCTTTATCTGTTAGTGCCTTTATCATCTTGGGTGTTATTTTGCCAGCCCAGGAGATTTTTTAATGTTTAAATATTGAATTTTTTGTTGAACTTCGTTTTTGGTTAGTGGTCTGATTACTGGTATGTTCGTTGGAATGTTATTTATGCCTCTTCCAATTTCAATGTCTGGAGCTTCGTTTTTGGGAGTAAATACTTGAGCTGGGTATTTGGCAAATAGCATTGTTTTTTCCTCATCATTTCTGGCCCACTGTAGTGTTGGTTTCTAATTGGAGATACCAGAGTTTTAGGTTTTTTTCAGTTTTTGATCGGTTTCCATATTGAGTTGTCGTGCCGGTTAAGATTTGTTATGTAGTTTGTAAATGACAGTTCTTGTTCCTTTTTAAGTTTGGATTTTAGGTGATTGCTTAGCCTATTTAATTTAGTCTTGTCTGCTGGGAATTGGGTTCGTTGCCATTTGGTCCTAGCTTTCCTTTTTTGAGCTACCACCTTTTTTATTTCAGCTGGGATGTAGTGATCTTTGCTACCTGTATTGTTCGCGTTGGTGAGGCATTTTGTACTGCCTTCATGAGAGTGTTGTTTAAGACTGTTAGTGTTTCACCTATATCCCTTGTTATTCTGAGGCTTGTAGATTGAGAATTCTTGAGAACTTGTAGACTGATATCTTCTTCTAATTTGCTACGATATTTGTCCCAGTTAGTTCTCCCGGTGTGCAGCCTTGGTGTGGCCGTTTTGGAGACTATGAAGCTGCTAATGGTTGCTATAATTGGCAAGTGGTCGGATGAAAAGTCATAGCTCGGCATGACTTCCATGTATGCGAGAGATATCCTGAATGATAAATAGATCCAAAAGAACAGGTGTTTTGTTTGGTTCTTTTGGTCAGTATGTAGAACAAAAGGTGGTAGTTGTTTTCATGTATTAGGCTTACTAATTATCTGCCTTTAGTTGTTGTGAGATGAGATCCAAATAATTTCTTGAAATCTTCTTTCTTTAAGCTGTGTGAGAGTGGATAGTAGACTGCTGCGACTGTTAGTAAGTAAGACCTCATGCTGACTTTGATAACTGTAGTTTGCAAGCAATTTTGAGCATAGTTTGGTAGTTTTGTGTGTTTATAGACGAGTCAAGTTAGTAGAAAATAAGCGTTTTTTCGTCACAACTGTATAGACGGGTTTGACAGTTGAAATGGATAGTATGAGATATTACAAAAAGACTCTCATCTAGGGATTCATGAATTTTTTAGTGGAACTATTTTTAAATAAACAATTAATACGTCAATATCATTATTTTGCTCATAACTTATAAACTTGTCTATTTAGAGATTTGACGTCCACAGACGAGTTGTTGAGAAAGAAAAAATACACAAAATGAGATATACTAAATTAAAATCGGTTAATAAACAAAAAAGTTATTGCATAATAACCAAGTAAAACGGCTGTTTTTGATTATTGTTAATAACTCTTTTAGTAATCAATAAAATTTATTTAAATGTATCTGAACTTAAAGATCTCATCGTGTTCGAAGTGTGTGCGAAAAATAGGCTAGATCCGTCAAATAGTTTTTGCACAATTTAATTTGTTTATAAGATTTTTTGAAAAATGCACAAATTTCTAAGGCCGGTCCAGATAATTTGACTGAATGGATCTTAATAATCCGGGGCTTATTTTCTTCGATGAGACATATATTATTATCCTGTGGAAAAAAAATTAAAAAAAAAATACGTTTATGTACACAAAATGATTTATTAATAAATAGCACATTTTAAGTTTATAAACATTTACAATAACTCCGTACTATTTAGTTTAAATTAAATGGCAATAAAATATTCGGAAGGCGGGTTTAAAAAAACAACAACTTAAAAAAAAAAGGTCCTGCGACCATTAGGAGCCGAATTAGTCCTTTTTTTTTTTTAAATCACTGTTACGTCAATTAACAACATTAAGGGCTGAAATTAACCAATCTTTTAGAAGAAAAGTCAAAGTTATTCTCAAAATGTTTAGCAAAAAAAATAATTGAAAATTGTTTAAACAGGAGTGTTGTAAACGAAGAGTACTTTGCGTTCCGACTAGAATGGAAGGAGTGGGGATTGCCGATTGCACACAAGCCGCGCTCTCCAAAAAAGTCAAGCGCACGGTTTCAAAATAGATTGCTTGGAAAAAAATGACATATCTCGGGTTCTAGTGGACCAAATTTGTTCTTTTTTTTTTAAACTGGGGTACAACGTTAAAATAATAACATTTAACGTACTTTCATTGCAAAATTATTCAAAACAAAGCAGCTAATGACTACGGAATGTACAAACTTTTTCTTGAGTCGTCTTTTTATTGTTATTTTTCTATTTATTTATTTCAAATATGATTATATTAAATAACTGTTATAAGTAAATAAACATTTTGAATAATGTTTACTAAAAATTTATTAATGAAATAATAAATTAATTTTATGTTATTACAGAAGTTGAAATTTTGTGTAGTGATTTTTTAAAATAATTTAATTTACTGTAATTTTCTACGCTTAATTTCTATATCGTCACTGCTACTACTATGTAAACATTCATCTTCACTTTCATCTTCAATTTCACTTGTATTATAACTTTCATAAATCATTTCATTTTCATTGTCGCTATTCTCATCAAACCCAGTTAAATACATTTCATCAATTATCTCTTGTTCATCTGTTGTATCGTTTTCTTCTTCATTAATAATTTCATAAATATTAGTACATTATAATAGTAAAATAATATTATATTCAAAGTTAACCGTATATTATTCAGACAACGTGGTACAACCATGTGTTTATATTAATATATATCAGAACACGTAGTTTTTTTTAATATTCAGATGAATTTTACGTACCATTAATTATTTGTAACAATTATTAAATAAAACAAAACACTAAATATTTCAATACAACAAACCGGTTGTATAGTCGCAGGAAAATGAGTTGTACCGCTTTCGACGTGCGCTCGACGCTCGACTTTTTTTAGAGCGCGGCTTGAGTGCAATCGGCAATCCCCACTGCTTCCATTTGAGTCGGAACGCAAAGTACTCTTGGTTTACAACACTCCTGTTTAATCAATTTTCAATTATTTTGTTTGCTAAATATTTTGTTAAAAACTTTGACTTTTCTTCTAAAAGATTGGTTAATTTCAGCCCTTAATGTTGTTAATTGACGTAACAGTGATTTAAAAAAAAAAGGACTAACTCGGCTCCTAATGGTCGCAGGACCTTTTTCTTTTTTTTTAAGTTGTGTTTTTTAACCAGCTTTCCGAATATTTTATTGCCATTTAATTTAAACTAAATAGTACGGAGTTATTGTAAATGTTTATAAGCTTAAAAAGTGCTATTTATTGTTAAATCATTTTGTGTACATAAACGTAATTTTTTTTAACTTTTTTTTCCATAGGATATTAATATATGTCTCAACAAAGAAAATAAGCCCCGGATTTTTAAGATCCATTCAGTCAAATTATCTGGACCGGCCTTAGAAATTTGTGCATTTTTCAAAAAATCTTATAAACAAATTAAATTGTGCAAAAACTATTCGACGGATCTAGCCTATCTTTCGCACACACTTCGAACACGATAAGGTCTTTAAGTTCAGATACATTTAAATAAATTTTATTGATTAATAAAAGAGTAATTAACAATAATCAAAAACAGTGGTTTTGCTTGGTTATTATGCAATAACTTTTTTGTTTATTAACCGATTTTAATTTAGTATATCTCATTTTGTGTATTTTTTTTTCTCAACAACTTGTCTGTAGACGTCAAATCTCTAAATAGACAAGTTTATAAGTTATGAGCAAAATAATGATATTGACATTTTAATTGTTTATTTAAAAATATTTCCACTAAAAAATTCATGAATCCCTAGATGAGAGTCTTTTTGTAATATCTCATACTACTTATTTCAACTGTCAAACCCGTCTATACACTTGTGATGAGTAAAAACCTAACTTGATTGGCCTATTAATGGTATTTTTTATCAGAACAGCCGATTCAGCGTGGGCTGTATTGTCTGGGTGGTTTGAGACATATGTTGTGTAGAAGTGCCTGTGCTATCCTTATGTATTCCAGGGATCCAGTCAGCTTTCATTCGTCGTGGTAGTTAGACGTGCGTAAGAAAGAAGCTTGTTTTTAAAACCGGTGTTTATAAATTAGATATATAAATAAATATTTCGTGAACTTTAAAAGTAAATTAATTACACTACACAAAAAGCGAAATTCGGAAAGACATTAAAAACTTATGAGTGCAGTTAGCGGAGGCGATGCCTCCGATAACAATGTTTTAGAAACCCAAATGGACACAGAAAATGCATCATCTTCAA